AGTGGAAGGTGCCAGGCCACATCTCTCTCCTGGCAAGAGCAGGTCCCCAACAATCTCCACCCCTTGGTCAAGGTCTTGATGTCTCTTAGCCATTAGGGAAGGGTGATGTGGGAGGATGGAGTGAGTTCATCTGTGGACGGGCAGCCTAGAGGGCAAGTCTGGTGCATTGATGGATGGAATGAACACAGATAATCTGTCTAGGTGGAACCCCCACCCCATGTTCCATCCCCATCTGTGTCTGTGGGCAGTGTGAGCCCCTGTTCCCAAGGAAGAGGCCAGAATGTGAGCCACCCAGGATAGTGTGGGCACTCGGGATCTGGACCCTCCAGGAATGTTTCCAAGAGGCCTCCTCCAGAGATGCAGCAGCGCCCCCACTGCCAGCCTGATGCTCTGCCCACCCCAAGCCCATCAGCCTTTCCCCAGCAGCCAGGGAGCTCTTCTAGCTATCAGCCAGGGCCCAAAGGCCTTCATCTGGGATCTCATCTGTGTTCCCTGAAACAACAGCTCTTGTCCATAAAACCAAGCACCCTGGACCGGCTTTCTGTCCATCTGCCAGCAGGAGATGCTGTGCCACCTTGTGGGGTTCAGTGCCCCTCTTCAGGCTCTGCTTGGCCACTACCCCAGGTCCTCACATTTCAGATCGTCTGGCTTCAGGAGCAGAGGGGCAGTATGCCATGTGGCCAGCTGCTTGGACCTCAGTCTAGTTGCACTCCTGGGGGACTTGTCTTCCTGGAGCTACTGCGGTCCTGCACCAACACTCAGTCTCCCAGTCCTTTAACTAAAGGAGCAAACACCATGAACTCCAGTCCAGCCGTGCTTCCAGCAGGCCTGCTCTCAAGACCCACCAGGCAGCCAGGAAAGATGCTCTGGAGCACTCGGTCTGCTGAACACATCACAGCATTTTCTCACTCCTTTTACTGGGACAGACCCACACACTGAAGACTGGTCTTCCAGAAACACATAGGATTGCTTTGGTGTGTGTCAGACCCCGTTGTGGCCAGAAACTACTACGCATCCCCATCTGTACATTGCTGTGGCTATGTACAGACTCCCACGGTCAACTTCAGGGCTCCCTCCACCACTTAGGCAGGTCACTCTTAGGGAAAGGGCTGACTTAGCTCCATTGGGGCTTGGTTATCGCCAGCACCCCAGCCCTACGGCTCAGGGTGACAAGAGTTCTGTCCACACTCCCAATCAGGAGTGGCACAGCAGGCTGATGCAGCTTCCAGATTACAGCCTGGGGGGAGACTGTGAGCACTGACTTGTAGACAATTGTAAAAATAAACCAGGGCATGTTTGGCTCAGGGTGACAAGAGTTCTGTCCACACTCCCAATCAGAAAGTGGCACAGCAGGCTGATGCAGCTTCCAGATTACAGCCTGGGGGTAGACTGTGAGCACTGACTTGTAGACAATTGTAAAAATAAACCAGGGCATGTTCAGAATCACCTTCAAAGCCGGGAGCACTACTGAGTCAGGACCAGATCCTGAGCGGTGACATTGAATGCACAGCAGACAGAGGGGCTGATCACAGAGAGCAGAGGGGCCGGCCATGGGGACAGTTATGCCTGTCCACTGGCCTCCCCAAGATCTACACCTTAAGCTAAGAGGAGGCACGTCAGGCCCAGAGAACCTCCTCACAAATGAATGCATCCAGCCTGGGATACCTTTACTCCCTGGTTCTCCTTCCAGCTCCCACATGACCTGATGACAAACAGTAACTGACCACCATATGAACAAATTAGTGAATGTGCCTTTCTAGATAACTATAGGTTAAAAATACATATGTGAGGGTTGGAGAGATGGCTCAGCGGTTAGGAACACTGGTTGTTCTTACAGAAGACCCAGGTTCGAATCCCAGCACCCACATGGCAGCTAACAACTGTCCATAACTCCAGTCCCAGGGGATCCAACAGCCTTTTCTGACCTCGCAGCCTTTTCTGACCTCTGTGGGCATTGCACAACATGGGTTCACTTACCTACATGCAGGCAATATACGTGTACACATAAAATAAAATTTTTAAAAATTTCTTTTTAAATATATATGCTGACTTCTTTGTGTCTATCCATCTACCTGAAAATTATGTCAGGCTGTACAACGGTCCTGTTTTTCATAGATCATTAATTAATTATGCTCAGATTGAGACATCAGTCCCTGTGATGTGTCCAACACCCCCTGGAGCTTTGCTTCAGTCCTGCTCACTCAGCGCAGTTATTAGGCACCTTTCACTTCCACAGGAGCCTGCCTCTCCCCTCCTTCCCTTCGCAGTCCACAGGTACCACAAAGAGTGTTAGTCATGGATTCTGGGGGCTCCGGATTTGCTCTCTGGCCAGGCACCTAGTCTCTGAGTCTTCAGCATTCCTGTGGCCTCCAGTTTCCACCCTCTTGGCTGTGTGATAATTTAGGCTGTGGATACCTAAGAGTCTACAGGTTGCGAGGCGCTGAGGTCAGTCAAGCAGCCCCAAGGCAGCGTACACAGGCATGTTCTGATCATTTGCCTCGGGAGCTGCACCCACCCTCCCACCAGCAGGAGCTCAGATAGCTTCACAGCCAGAGCTGGCTCAAACCCAACAGGGCCTCCTTTGTGTGGGCAGACATGGCTGAGTACCCATGGGTGCCCAAGGGTGCTACTGCTCGAGGTGAGACAGAGCCCTAGGAGCCCCATACTGGGCCTAGGCCAGCAGGACTTCTGAACATTGTGGCCTCAGTTTCCTCTTTTGTTAACCTTTAGGAGAGAAGATTCTCATGCATTTGGTTAGTTATCTTTTGTGTGAGGTGCTGGGCATGGAACCCAGGGTCTTATGCATGCCAGACAAGTGCTCTACCCACTGAGCTACATCTCCAGCTGATTCATGATCTTGTTTCTTCAAGAAGAGTTTCTCTGAGCAGCTTCTATGCCAAGCACTGTGGAGGCAGAGTGGATTGTGGACAAGATCTGGCCAGACAGAGATGCCAACAAATGCCCTCAAAACACAGGGAGAGCCCCTCCCCACGTGTGTCATGTCATGCATGCCCACGTGCAGTGGAGGGAAGAAGGGCGTGAGGTCAACTGTGGTCATCAGGATTCAGATCAGTTGCCTGGCAGAGGGCACTCAGAACTGTGCCTTGAAGGCCGGACAGGAGGCTACAGACGGACCAAGCATCCTAGCAGAAAGGCTGTGAGTGCAGGGCTCCGGAAGCACAGGTAACAAGCGCCTTTGGTGATGCAACATGATGATGCTGTGTAACACATCTGCATCTGCCCCCTGCACAGGGTCACAAGCACTTCGGAGGCAAAGGATCCAGGCACCTTTCTGCAGCACCCAGAACACAAGCGCTGCCTAGAGGAGGAGCCAGAGAGAGTGGGGGGGGGTCAGCAGCCAAGGCTGCTCAGGGAGTCAGGTGGTCTGAGATGGATGCACCCACAGTTCCTACAAGAAGTGGGGACAGGGTTATCTATAGGAAATTACCTCAGGAGCTTGGGGGGTCTGGAAGGTGGTGGCATACTCAGCCAATGCCTCATCATCCAGCATGTTCTGTGTCAGCTTGGAGAGTAGGAGGTTCTCCAACCCATGTCTCCGCAGCTCCCGCAGCAGGTATGCAATCAGGTGGTTCCTCTCCTGGCACTTGTGAACCAGGGACACCAGCTTGGCCTGGGAGGGGGATCCCATGGCATAGGCTGAGCTGGGAGCTGGGACAGCACCCCACTCCCAGCATGCTCCAATTCACCCAGAAGTCAGGGCCCCAGGGCTCCCTGGGGCCCTCCTAATACCAGGCTCAGGGTGGCAGGGGAAGGAGCTCTGTGATGGCCCAACTCTGTGACCAAGCTCATCTTCTCTACACTTCAACGTGCCCATCTGTACAATGGGCTGTTAGGGGCACCAGGAGACACCAGGCAGAGCCCCACAGAACCTCCCCTTTTCATTTGACCTCATGTTGGTAAAGCGCTAGGCCTTAAGGTCCCCTCTAAATGAGGGGTGTTTGTCATATGATGAATGTAGGGAGACAGTGACCTTGTATTTGTGACCTCATGGGCCTCTTTGCACTGTCCCGGCTATGATGTTCCAGAGTCTTCACAGGAATGACTATGACTTCCATTTTACCAACACAAATGTGAAGCTCAGTGGGCATGGAATTCTGGGAGGGGGAGTGGCTCATATTTCTGATTTAACAGCCAAGGAAACTGAGTTCCCAGGGGAAAGTGGGCAGCTGTGCTGGGTGGCACCGTGTTTGGCCGATGCCCTGTTAGGGTTCCTCCTTGCCCACCCACACAGCCACAAGGAAAGCAGACCCTCCCGCCCCTTCCAAAGTCCATCCTGGTCAAACGTGCCATCTCGTCCTGCTGACATGTGAGCCCTGTGGGCCAGCGTTTGTGGGGATATGTCCAAAGTGTAACTGTATGGATGGGTGGGGGACCTTCCTAAGGAAGCATGCGCAAAAGTGTCTATATGCAGTAATGGGGTGGGGGAGCATGAGAGCAAGAGTAAGAGAGAGAGAGGTGAATGTGAGCATCAAATGGCAGCATCCTGACTGGTCACACTGTGAGACCCCGTCTAGGTAGCACCCTCATGGAGGAAAGGCACAGCGTACACAGTCAGGGACACAGGCAGGGTGGGGGCTGAGGACATAGAGAGTATGGGGGTCAGGGACACAGGCAGGGTGGGGGTTGAGGACATAGAGAGTATGGGGGTCAGGGACACAAGCAGGGTCGGGGTTGAGGACATAGAGAGTATGGGGGTCAGGGACACAGGCAGGGTAGGGGTTGAGGACATAGAGAGCATGGGGGTCAGGGACACAGGCAGGGTGGGGGTTGAGGACATAGAGAGCATGGGGGTCAGGGACACAGGCAGGGTCGGGGTTGAGGACATAGTATGGGGGTCAGGGACACAGGCAGGGTGGGGGTTGAGGACATAGAGAGCATGGGGGTCAGGGACACAGGCAGGGTCGGGGTCAGGGTCATGTCAGTAGGGAGGAGCTAACACACATGAGAAACCAGACTAGAAAAAAATATGAGAAACACTGTTCATGTGGGGACCTGAGTGACATCTGTCCCGTTCACTCTTAGGTATTTCACACAATAGTGATGGACAGAGCTTACAGCGAACAGATTCTGAGCTGTGAGTGGCAGTGTGTTACCTTCAGAGGACTTGTGGCCAGACGAGCTTCATGCTGCTGTCCCCAGAGTTCCCGCAGCTGAAAGGAGACAGATGTGTGGGCTGCGGGCACTGTGGAGGCTGTGGAGCTGTGCGGGCTGCTAGCCTGCTGGGGAGGGAGCAGTGTTCTAGCCCATCATCACCCTCCCTCTCTTCCTGTATGGGAATTCTGGGAACAGAGCCCCCCGCCCCCCAGGACCAGGGGCTGGTTCTGTCAGGAAAGACCATGTGCTTAATCTCGTAGCTCCACAGAGGTGACACACCTGACATGAAACACGCTCTACCCCCTCCTCAGACAAGCCAGGTCCTGATTCCAGTGCAGAAACCCACTCACACCTGTGAGTCACTCATTCCCCTGCTTCAGCGTACTCTGTGAGGTGAGTACTGTGGCCATCTACCCCAAGCTGAGGATCATAATGGGTTTCACTGATGAAGGGCACGTAGACCCAGGCCTGGCAGCCAGTTGGTGCTCAATACACAGTAGCTCCAGTTACTGTGGCACGGGGCAGATTAACAATGACACAGCCTCTCCCCTGATGAAAGGCTGGTCACATCCTGGCCCTCAGCTCCAAGCTGGCCACTGGCCTCTAGCATACAACATATCTCAGAAGTGCCTTCAACAGGCCTGTAAGTTTCCTTTGAGTCCTTGCTGGAAAGGTACAAGTTAAGGGCCTGAGACACCACAGAGGGGGCAGGGGATAGGGAGCAGAGAACAGGCAGCTACTATGTAGAGGTGCCAGTCACATGTGTGGGGCCACCGTGGACTTTCCACTCTAGCCCAGCATCTACCAAGTGACCTCTTCCCAGCCAGGTCCTGTCTCAATTCCCATCCTATCAAATGTACTCAATTTTGTGATCTGTTCTCATACACACTCCTCTGTTGTCAATATTTTTAAAAAAAGTTAAGAACCTACTTGAATAAACACCCTTCTTCCTTACCCCTAACCAAATCTGACCTCTAATAGTTCTTCAACATTACATACTCTGGTGAATCTGGGTGTGCGTGTATACACACATGAAACCACTACACAGAGAGTGTTACATCCTGTTCTGTCATTGAACAGAAAATCCAAGTTATATTTCCAGACACACTGGAAATATCGTCCATGTAAAATCAGGCACACTGTCTCATCACGAGGCTGAGAGGCGTGATTTATTTACTCAATTCTTTTATTGATGGAGATGTATTCCTTCTGTTTCTTTGCTTTACAAACAATGAATTTTTTGTGCATCTATTTGGTGCACCTTTCTGAGCTTGGTCAAAGAGTAATTCTAACTTCAAGTAGACAGCCTTGTATTCAAAAGGCACTTGGTATGTGAAAAACAAATGACGTATGTTCTCCCTCATTTATGGATCCTAGTACCAAATCCTTACATGTAAGTGCATATCCTGTTACTGCAGGAACCAGAAAAATGGAAAGTCACCAGGGAGGTAAGGGGGAAGAAGGAACCCAAGAGACAAGCACAGTAGGAGATGGGTGTTACTAAGGAAGAGATGTGTAAAATGGGGGTATTTAAATGGGGGGGGAGGAACTATGGGGATAAAGTGGAAGAAGGAGCTCAAGAGAAGTGGGGCCAGACAGAAATTATCAAGGGAGAAATGGGAAATGGGGATACTTTAAGTGGGGATGGCAGGGAGAGGGGGCTAGACACGGGGAGAGAGAAGAGAGGTAAATAATGCCTAGCTAGTATAAAAAGAAACAGAGGAAATCATATTAGTCCAAAAATGCACTGAAAAACATACAAGATCTCTACATGAGTCTGTGTGTACAGCTGAAGGCCACATAACAAGAAACAGTGCCAGACAGGAGAAACCTTCCTTTGAGTTGTTGGCCAGGGTGGTCCAGGAGACTCCCAAAATTACACAGGCTATTGGCACAGCCCTTGATGGTCTCCCAGAACTTGAAGGTAAGACCCTATTGCTGGAGACAGGACATACTTTACAAGATCTCTACATGAGTCTGTGTGTACAGCTGAAGGCCACATAACAAGAAACAGTGCCAGACAGGAGAAACCTTCCTTTGAGTTGTTGGCCAGGGTGGTCCAGGAGACTCCCAAAATTACACAGGCTATTGGCACAGCCCTTGATGGTCTCCCAGAACTTGAAGGTAAGACCCTATTGCTGGAGACAGGACATACTTTGGAGACACGTCTCCCAGAACTTGAAGGTAAGACCCTATTGCTGATGACAGGATATATTCTGGACAGGATTTGGAGCAGGAAGCCAGAACTGACCGGGAAGCCTCCTCCCCTGAAGTCCAGCTCTCATAGCTTTGCAGAGCACTACGCAAGCTGCTAACTTGAAGCAATGGAGCTGGTACTGACCGGGAAGCCACCTCCCCTGAAGTCCAGCTCTCATAGCTTTGCAGAGCACTACGCAAGCTGCTACGGGAGAACATCGATCGCTGGTCCAACCCCAGCTTCAAGGCCTAGAAACCACATCAGTGACCGGCACAGCAAAGAACACTGCTGCGGTAGTGGTCAACAGCCACCTAATTGGACTTAAAGCCCACTCAGTGAAAGGAAACTTGTGTGGTTCTGTAAACCCAGCCAAATACACATGGCTGGAGAGGTCATAGATCTTGGAGAAAACCCCAAGGATTCAATGGGCAGAAACTCACATGTGGTTCTGTAAACATAGCCAAATACACATGGCTGGAGAGGTCATAGGTCTTGGAGAAAACCCCAAGGATGTCACATCCTTAGACAAATGTAATTTCTTACTATGTGCAAAATATGGATCCTTAACTTTGCAGACAATTATTCCAGTCGCCATCCATCAAAGAAGCTTCTTTTTCAACAGAGATTATTGCATAGTTCCACAAATGGTCATACACAGAGATTGTCTGCGAATTGCCCAAGCCTAAGTTGTGCATCTACATGCAACCTCTACACCTAAGGCTCATGGAACATAGAACAAGGGATAAAAGAACACTGGTGTATCTCTCAATCCTCACCAATGAAGCTCCCTCATGCAACAGAGGGCCAGGAATGGCCAAAACGTATGGAATAAGCGTCTACAGAGTGCGGGTCCTTGGACAGGACTCCCATTTTCAAATCCACCCACCCAGGGCTCAGGAACCACTGCAGAAGGTGGGGAGCAGAAAGATTGTAAGAGCTGTGGGGGCGGGGCATGACCATATGGAAATATAGTCCCACAGGCTCCTGGGACTCTTATATGAACCCACAGTAATGGTGTCAGCAGGCACAAGACCCGTGTGAACTCTAGCAGACAAAACCCCAGCACAGAACTGTGGAAATGGGCAGCAGGCCCCATCTTAGTCAGAGAATTATTGGCAGCTTATTACTGCTGGTGAGGAAGAGCTGATCTTCTTCAAGGGAGGGACTCTAGATAGGCTGACTAGACCTCCATGGATAAACTTGCACTAAAGGACATCTGGGGACACTAACTTGACAAGATAGGGCTTAACACAAATGACAGAATGTATGAACTCCAGTGGGGGGGGCATGGGTGGGTGTCAATGGAGAAGAGATGTTCTGTACGAAATTCACAAAAATTCAGTAAAAAATTTTATACAGTGAACAAGGAGAGAAGGAAAAGAAAAGCCACAGATCTGGAGAACGTATTCTCAAACCATGCACCTATTTCGTCCTCGGTTCTAATCCCTTGCTGTGAATGCTTCAGGTTTTCTACGTAAAAGATCATGACCAATCATCATAAAAGATCATGAACAATTATCATAAAAGATCATGAACAATTATCATAAAAGATCATGAACAATTATCATAAAAGATCATAACCAATTATCATGAAGAATTGCCGTGTATCAATTCAAATTAATTCATTAAAACTGAGATTATTAGGGGATTCATACAATGGCACAAAGAGGCAGAGATCCCTGTGAATTTTGTTGGGTTTCCGCCAATGGGAACATTTTACAAAGCTACAAGACCACAAGGGACTGAAATTGGTGGTAGCCCATGGATGTGGTTGGGATGTCTGCTATTTTTTTAAAAAATGAATTTTTTATGTTATGTGTATGAGTGTTTTGCATGCATGTATGCAAGTATACCATGCACATGCAATGCCTGTGGAGGTCAGAAGAGGGTGTCAGATCCCCCTGGAACTGGAGTTGTGGATGGTTGTTAGCTGCCATGTAGGTGCTAGGAACTAAACCCAGGTCTTCTGGAAGGGCAGTCAGTGCTGTTAACCCTGAATAATCTCTCCAGCCCCATGTCTGTCACTTTGTGTTAATGTATGCATCAAGGATTGTGTGATTTTAGCCCCATGTAGGTATGCATGCTTACCCACAGTCAAGGTCTGGAGACGTTCCACCTCATGTCCCTCAGTGACCTTTTATAATCAGAAATATGCATTTCCTGCAGAGAAAGGACTGAACTGTTCTCTAGGGAGTCTTTTGGAGGTGCTTAATGTTTTTTAAAAAAACTGTGTGTGTGTGTGCGTGTGTGTGTGTGTGTGTGCGTGTGTGTGTGTGTGTGTGTGTGTGTGTGTAACAGAGGACATCAGGATAGAGAGGCTCCAGATCCTTTGTCTTCCTCACACTGCTCTGTACTTTAAATATCTAGCCAACACCATCAAGCTGCTGCTTCTCCTTCCTTGAGGTGTGGAACCTTTTAAAGGGCGAGGAAGGGCTGGCCCAAACAACCTTGCCCTTGAGCTCATCCTGGAGGTTCACGGCCTCATCCCGACCTGCCTGCAGCTCCCAGAGTGCCCAGCTCTGGTCTCTGAGCTGGCACTGTAGGGTCCACACCTGGTGATGAAGTCGCTGGACACACAGTTTGGGGTCTTCCTCCATGGCTTCCATCTTAGAGTCCTGGAGCTATGGGACAAAGATTTAGAGGAGGTTCTCAGATGAGAACTTGCCATAGCCAACAACCAGTCTCCGTGCTCTCCTCTCTCTCCTCTCTCTCATATTTTTCTCACAGTGGAAGGAATGAAGAGATGAAGGATGGAAGGAAGAGAGAAAGAGATAAAGAGAATGAGAAGAAGAGGAAGTAAAGAGAGGGAGGGAGGGAGGGAGGAAGGATGGAAGGAAGGTTAAGGGTGAGAGAAAGGATGGAAGGAAGGATTGAAGGAAAGGAGGGAGGGAGGGAGGATAGAAGGGAGGAAGGAAGGAAGGGAGGGAGGGAGGGAAGGAAGGAGGGAGGGAGGAAGGAAAGAAGGAAGGAAGGAAGGTTAAGGGAGGAAGAAAAGATGGAAGGGAGGAAGGAGGGAGGGAAGGAGGGAGGGAGGGAGGGAAGAAGGGAGGGAAGGAGGGAGGGAGGTATTACTAAACAACTAGATTCCTGGAACCCAGACTACTGTTGCTGCCATCCGTTTCCCCCTCAGCCTGCCTGCTATGTCTCATGTGTATATATGAGTGTGTAGCTCAGGCTGGATATCTTAAAGGGGTAGGAGATGGTACAGGGAACCCCAGAGCAGTATCCCAGAATATTATTCTTAAAAACATGCAAAATAGGATTCATTAACCAGTTTAACCGCTGTCAGTGGCCACTGTGCTGAAACACACAAAGATGAATGAAATCTCACAGGCAAATGGCGTTATCAAATGGCGTTATCAAATGGCGTTATCAAATGCTCACACCATTAAAGCTTCATGCCTTTAGGTAAGGCAGGAAGTGTTGAACTTCCCATGAGCACTGGCTTAAACAACTACAAAATCATCTCTTAATCTCTGATAGAACACCAGGGTAGAAGGCTTTACTGGAGGAGAGGGGAGGGCTCAACCAGCCCTAAGGGAAGCGAGATCGATGGTCGGGGTACTGGTTCCCAGTGGTCGTGTACTCTAAATCCTCTTTGTTTTGCTAACTTATATACATATGTGTCTTTTCTTTATAACTTTTTAAATAGTTATTTTTTAATTTATGCACATGTGCGTGTCTCTAAGTACACGCTGCACGCGTGCAGGTGCTCGCAGAGGCCAGAAGACCCTGTTGGATCCCCCGGAAGAGCAGCCAGCGCTCCTAACCACTGAGCCATCTCTCCAGCCCCTTTTAATAAAATCAGATAAACAACACCTATCTTTGTTTTACTCTGTTAAGCTGTCATGCACATGTTACCCCATGGCCACTGTGATGGCTGATCTTGGTTGTCAACTTGACTGGATCTGGAATTAACTTGAGGAATTCTTTTGATCAGATTATTTGAAGCCAGAAGATCCTCCCTAAATGTGGGCGGCAGCCCGGTAAAGGCCCTGGCAGAAGGGAGGGGCTGCCTTGGCCTGCTCCCCATTCACTCTCACTAGTGAGCTCATTCTGCTCCTGTGGTATTCCTTCACGGATATTAGAACCAGTGACTTTGAGTTCCAACATCGACTGAAGACCAGCGGATTTCCAGGAATCCTCCAGGCCTCCAGTGCCAGATTGAGACTGTGGAGACAACCAGCCTCATGGTCTGAGCAACTACCGTATTCTCAGCCTCCCCAGTGTGGTGCGGCCATTGTGGGACACTCAAATTCTATCCTAGCCTATCCTACCCTACCCTACCCTACCCTACCCTACCCTACCCTACCCTATCCTATCCTATCCTATCCTATCCTATCCTATCCTATTCTATTCCATCTAGCCAATCTACTAAATCCTCAATTTAATAAATCACTCTAACACTGTGAGGATTCTAGACCTGAAGTCACGGGGGTTGGGGAGGTGTTCTGGGTCTAAGATCATGGTACGTGCAAGGCCCTGATCACAGCACCAAGGAGACGAAAGGAAGGAGGGACAGGTACTGCCAACGGGGAATGCTCCCTCTGTGAAGGAGCCCAGAAACTCACGAACACCCTCCCACTTGCTTGGAGAAGCCCATTCGTTTAAAACAGCCCATCCATCTGATGCCTTCCTCAGGACTCCATGGAAGCAGATGAGGGGTCCCGAGCTCTTCTGAACAGGGGGAAGAAAGGCGGAGAGGAGTGGGAGAGGGCGGGAGCCACGTGACTCTGACTGATCGGACATGTCCCTGCAAACAAGGACCACAGTAACAGAATGTGGTATTTTTTTTTTAATTAATAGAAGCTCACACTGCGTGGGCCTGAGACTCATAGGCTGGGGTCTGTTGGAAACAGATGGGTGCTCCGGATGGTTCCATAAAATTTAGATCCAGACTTCAAAACAATGTGGCCTTTCAGGAAGTTTGGTGGTTGGCTGTTGCCTCCGGCCTCTGGGGGTTTGGGCAATAGTTTTGTTCCCATGAGTCCTAAGACAGCACTCAGTATGAGCTGAGAGAGTGGCCTGCCTGTCACCAGGTCCTGCGCCTCACAGCCAACTGTAAGTATATGCTCTGGGTACCCACACTGTGCTTGCGGGGGACAGAAGGGACACTGCCCTGAAGGAGTTCTGGTTGATAGGGAGAGTGTCAGACACAAGCCACTCAGCCCAATTGGCAAAGGGAGGCCTGACAGTTCTCAGCCATGAGGCACTGAGCTGTGGTCCCAGCCCTGTCTGTGCTGTGGTGGCAGATGCTGTGGTCCACACTAGGTGGTACCAATCTGCAGTATTCACCCATTCTTATGGTGTAAAGTCCCCACTATGACCCACTGAAAACTACCAGAATGACATCAGTGACTGCAGGCTGGGAAGAGCTGTACCTGAATCAGCTCTGCACCCCACCGTCCTGAGCCCAACCTGTAGGGCAGTCCCCCAACATGGGACTCAGAGATCAGTCGCAGTTAAGCAGGTGAAAGCTGAGATAAGGGGATAGGCAGGTGGAGGATGCAGAGAACTCTGCCCTGGGTTGCAGCTCAGGGTGTGGCCAGTGGGGTGTATACAGCAATAGCTGCAGCCCCAGATTCTCCGCTGGGCTGTTACTCCCTGTTACAGTCGGGGTTTCATATCCAGTGTGGCAGGAAGTCATGGTAGGGTCACAGGCCCAAGAGTGAATCTGGACAGAAAGGGGGATCTTTCTTCACCCTCTGTCCCTGAAAGTCACTAAGTCCTGTAGATTTCAGCTGTAGTTGTGAATTCTACTCTTCCCAAGTACATGCCATCTCTTAGTCAGCTCCCCCAATACCCCCTCGTGACCGCCCCCACCTTAGCCCCCAGCCTTAGCAATCTCTTCATGGTATTGTTTTCCTATTCAAGAATCCCACTCTAGCCAGGAAGGGGGGCACACACCTTTAATGCCAGCATTCTGGAGGCAGAGGCAGGTGGATCTCTGGGAGTTCGAGGCCAGTCTGGATGACATAGCAAGTTCTAGGCCAGCAAGGGCCACATAGTGAAAGTTTGTCTCAAACAAACCAATAAACAAGAATATTCCATTGTTCTTAGAAAGTTCAGCGGAGGGCCAGCCAGCTAGCTCTGCTCCATCCTTCAACAGCTTTTCACACCACAACCCTCCAGGCTGCTGCAGCTAGGCTCTGTTTTTCCAAAAGTCTGTCTCCACTGCATTAGAGTCTGGTCAGTCGCCACTCCATATTCACCTCCTTGGACTTCCAGTCAGAGTAGCTGACATTGGAAAACTATGAAATCCGGGGTGAACACAAAAATAATTCTTTTCTGGCACTGGAAAGCAAGCAGGAGAAAAAGAAACCAACAGGGCAGGAACTAAAGCTCCTGGGCTTCTCTTGGAAACACTTTACAGACCAAGATTCAGGAAACAGTTAGCGCCCATGCTGACACCAGTGCTGGGGGCAAGAATGAGAGATGGAGGTCATGGATGTGAGGACAGCTGGGGTGTGGAAGGCAAACAGCAGAGAGAAGGTCAGAGAACCCAACACAATCCTAGAAACGGCCTCCTGAGTCCTCAGCTGAATATGACTAAGTATCTTGAGGAGACAGTTGCTGGGAGGGGACCACCAGGATCTCAGGGTCATACAGTACGAAGAAGGTGGCAGAATGTGGGCGGAGCCAAGGAGAAGCCACCTTTCTCTACACTCTGGGAATTCAGCTGTGGACATCACAGATCTGCTGATGACCTAGGGCCTAAGGCCACCGTGGGAGTCACAGGAAGCCCAGGGTTGAAAGAGAACTGTGCGGTTATAAAACGGCCCACGTGGCCACTGGTGCCAGCAGAAAATGCATAAGACACACTCTGGAGGAAGAGGTGGCCAGGGACCTCCACCAGGCATCACATGTGGTCCAGCATCAAACAGGTCTTTGAATGAAGAAGGAAAATGTGCCTACTTGCCAAGAAATCCAACAGCCACACAGGAGGCAAGAGATGGTCCAGAAGTTGGAGTTAGCAGAGGAGGCCTACAAATGAACTGTGACTTAATGCATTTATACATATGAAAAGACAAACCAACAGGACTGGAGAGATTGCTCAGTGGTTAGGAACGCTGGCTGCTCTTGCAGAGGACCCGGGTTCAATTTCCAGCACCCACATGACAGCTAACAACCTTCTGTAGCTCCAGTTCCAGGGCATCCAATGCCCTCTTTGAACTCCGTGGGTATTGCATGACAGGGGTGCACTTACACACACGCAGGCAATACACTCATACACATAAAATAAAAATAATAAATAAAATATTTAAAAAGACAAACCAAGTGGATAGATGGATGGAATATTTCGATGTAGACTCACAATCTCTCTTTTTCAAAAATAATAGAATAGGCCAGACGTGGTGGCACATGCCTTTAATCCCAGGACTTGGGAGGCGGATCTCTGTGAGTTCAAGGTCTACTTAGTGAGTTCCAGGTCAACTGGAGCTATAGGAAGACCCTGTCTCAAAAAGACCAAGAAGAAGAAGAAGAAGAAGAAGGAGGAGGAGGAGGAGGAGGAGGAGGAGGAGGGGAATATTCTAGAGCCACAGAATACAATGAATGAAATTAGAAACTCACTAGAGGAATTTCTGTCAAAAGACAGAACACAATAGAACAAAGAATTAGCAAACTAAAAGAAAGGCCGATAGAAAACCCAAACAGAACCACAGCGAGGACAAAAGTCTAGAATTCTAAAAGCAGAAAGAGAAAAACAAGAGACAATAAATATTTGAAGAAATAGCAACCAAGGGTTTGGAAAGATGGCTCAGCGGGCAAAGTGCTGGCTGTGTAGGCACGAGGACTTGAGTGTGATCTCCAGCACCCACATAAAAAGCCAAACATGGGTACACACTTGTAATCCCAATGTTGGAGTGTGGGGTGGAGATGGTCAGATTCCCGGGGCTTGCTGATTAGCCAGTTTGGCCTAATTGGTGGGCCCCAACTCCCAAGTCCCAGTTGGTGATCCCCAGAGATCCTGTCAGGGGGCTTGGTGGGTGGGGAACCAAGGTGGGCAGCTCCCGGGGGTTGACAGCTGAGGTTAATCTCTGGTCTCCACATACGTGCACACACAGGTGCATGCACACCTGCACACACACATGCACCTGTACACACACAAATAGGTAACCCCTCACTTGCACAAATTTTAAAATATTTTATTATTTTAATTTTATGTGTACGAGTGTATTGCCTGCATACATCTAAGTGCACCTGTGTTGTGCAATGCCCGCGGAGGTCAGAAAAGGTTATCAAATACCCTGGGAACTGGAGTCATGGATAGTTGTTAGCCATCATATGGGTGCTAGGAATCAAACCCAGGTCTTCTGCAAGAGCAGTCAGTGCTCTTAACTACTGAACCATCTCTCCAGTCCCACATGCACAAATTTTTAAAAAGAGAAATGATAACCATAAATGTTTCAAGTCTGATAAAAGACATAAATATAAGGAGCTTGGAAAAATGGGGGTGATAAATACGAACAGAGCCTTAACCTAGATACATCAAGCCGCCAACACCCAAAGATAAAAGGGAAACCCTCAAAGCAGTCAGGCAGTGACACATTTCTTCTGGGGCTGGGAGAAATGACAATGACAACCGGTTTCTGAGCAGAAACTGTGGGCAGCAGAACCTCCAAAGTGCTGATTGAGGGGAACCCACAAACAAAGGATCTTGAAGATGTGGCAGAAACAATGTTTCCATAAAGGCAAACACAGGAAAGCTGGGGCAAAAAACACCAAGGCACAGTGGGAGGAGAAACAGACAAGCTGAGATGGGTAAGAAAGGTCAGTGACCGCTCAGCAACAGTAACAGTGGCTCATAAGGCTGGTTACACATGGAAGTAATTTACACGCAAAAATAAGAACAAGAAGAGAAAACAAACAGCTAGACGGTAAGACTTTCTCCTGATTTCAGGCATGGTATAAACACTAATCTAAGGTGTATTTAATGATGGATGTATTTTGGAGGAATGATACAAAATAAAGGAAGCTATCAGAGAAGAAAGCGAGCCATACATACATTTGACTAGTCCAAAAAAAAAAAAAAAAAAAAAAAAAAGGCAGGGGCAGGGAGGTGGTGCAGTGGGTAAAGCACTTGCCCGGCTAGCATAAGGACCTGAGTCCACATCCCAGAGCCACAGACAAAGCTGGGTGCGACCGCACATCTGTAACCCCAGCGCTGGGAAGGAGGAGACAAGATCATGAGAGCTTGCTGAGCTGGTAAATAGGAAACTCCAGGCTCGGGGAGAGACTCTGTTCAAGGGAACAAGGTGGAGAGCCATGGAGGATGACATGGGTAGGCACACGGGGAGAGAGAGAGAGAGAGAGAGAGAGAGAGAGAGAGAGAGAGAGAATTTTAAAAATTGATAAAACCAAAAGTTAATTCTTCAAGACGGTGGCAAAAATTGTGGGGAGAGGAGA